ATTTTTTCAAGTGCACGTGTTTATAGCATTTATTAATTATTTCAACTAAATAGCTTTTAAATGTCTACTGATATTTCAAGTGCACAAGTTTAATTTTGTGTGTTTGTGCTAAGTTTTGGTCAAGCGGTTAGCATACCTATACTGTGAAAACGAGGGGTCCACGACTCGTGCCCCCCTTCTTGCTGCAAAAACGCGCTATTCACATTGGAGCCGAAGGTACGCTATAAGAGTGACAGTCAAGTCTGACTATTTAGTCAGACAAGAATAGTCCAAGTGTTTGCGGTGGGTGCTGAGGACTAGCTGCCTTCCTTCTAGTCTATAAGTTTAAAATTAGGAACGGCTAGCGTATATAGCACTTCTGTATTTTTGCGCCAAAAGTCTAAAAACAAGCAAACAATTTGATGTATTCGTTTTTAATGTACACGTATAAGATGACTTCTAAAATATACAGGTATAAGATGTTTCTTTTAATTCTTTCACATAAGTAGGTTCGTTTGTGAATCTTAAAAATGAAAGCGTTTTTAATGTTAATGATTTATATTTACATATAATTAAAAAGTTTATAAATCCTACAAATGCCAGGATTTGGAATGTTTCTTTTTATTTCGGTTAAACGACTAAAACTGATGTCAGTTTTATAAATCAACGGTTTTGAAATGTATGCTATTCAGGACCGTTTTTATACAGCTAAGCTATAGTAAGATAAAATAAATATGTTTGAATTTATCCTTAATAGGTGATATAGCATATAGCCAGAGGTTAACAGTAAAAATCCCTTAATTTGTTAGAATCCTTTAAAATATTCAGTGTTTGCTTTAGCGCAGAGCCACATTGGACTAACTGCTGTGTCCAAAGCAGGGAACCGAACCACGAATTTTTGCGTTGCAACTTCGTAAAGTTACGGCTGATCCACTGGCTTCAGAACATGGTGATCGGCTAATCATCAATAGGTTGAATATATGTATGTGGTACAAACAATAATACCGTTGGTTATTTGAATACATGCATGTGGTACAAACAATAATACTGTTGAAATTCGATGACGAGGAACTCACTTTGAGACAAATAATGCTTGGAGACGGCTTGAATGGGTGATGAAGAAAACCTGTAATATAAGTTTAACATAACAGCAAATGTACAATGTTTCGACAAGGTTTTGTTATCATCAGGTACAAGAA